TGTATATGCACAGGTAGTATCACATTCGTGGTCATATGGCATGAGTGTGGATGTGTGTGCATGGTTTTGATCAAACATCATTCTTGGTAGATGATGTGTAGACTTGAAAAAGTTGGACCAAAGTTTGACTGAGTTGCACGAGTTTGCACTGAAAATAGGACATGGATTAGCAAGAAGGGTTAAACTGTCCCTCAANATATTAAGTGCAATGGTACATTACATTGTATATGCACAGGTAGTATCACATTCGTGGGCATATGGCATGAGTGTGGATGTGTGTGCATGGTTTTGATCAAACATCATTCTTAGTGGATGATGTGTAGACTTGAAAAAGTTGGACCAAAGTTTGACTGAGTTGCACGAGTTTGCACTGAAAATAGGACAGGGATTAGCAAGAAGGGTTAAACTGTCCCTCAGNCTAACCAAATGCACCTTTTAGCAAACTCTTAGTAGGCAAAGACCGGTTCTTATGCTAGGCAAGTAAAGTCTGGCCGATTACAGCCCAAAATTTGTAGGGCCCCAAATAAAATTTTTAAATATAGGTTTAGATGAGTTGAATTTTATATATGTGATCCCAAAATAAAATATTTAGACGCAATAATAACACCTAATTTGTTTTAGGGCCTTATAGAAATTTGACCGGAAGAGTTTTAGACCCAAAGAAATCAAGTAAAATTATATATTGTGCCCCTACATAAATAGTCTCACTAAACAAAATATGTATATCTAGTTTCAATGTTCCAATTTTATTTTCCGAGTCTCCTACAAATTTGATAGGGTTTTAGACCTTTAATCAATTAAACTTAACTGGGCCCTAGACTAATGTGAGATTCATATCTTTCATAATAATGTTATTTTTTGAATTCAACCATGTGGAAAAAATATTATAAATTTTTTTTTCTAATCAATGTTTCCAGAGCAGCTTAAAATTTATTCTATTTGTGGATTTTTTTTTTTTCTTATAATGGACAGCCTTTTAATTTTTTAGATTTGAATAAAACTTGTTAAGAATTTCTTTTTGTTGCCAATGAGTAGAGGTGTTAATCAAAGCCGAATTTTGCTTGAACTCGAGCCTAACGAGCTTGTTTTTTTAAACAATATTAAAAAATTGTTTAAATTTAACTCGTTTAAAATTCGAGTCAAGGATATGCCCAAGCCGAACCCAAGTGGAGTCTGAGTAACTCGACTATTTTACATATAAACAAACCGAATTTTACAAGCTTGNAATTTTGCTTGAACTCGAGCCTAACGAGCTTGTTTTTTTAAACAATATTAAAAAATTATTTAAATTTAACTCGTTTAAAATTCGAGTCAAGGACATGCCCAAGCCGAACCCAAGTGGAGTCTGAGTAACTCGACTATTTTACATATAAACAAACCGAATTTTACAAGCTTAAACCAAACTTTTTAGACCGATTTTCTAAGCGAACCTAAAAAATTATTTAAACTCAACTCATTTAGAACACGAGTAGAACTCAAACCGAGTTTTATCTAAACCGAACCTGAATAAATCATCTCAATTAAAACTCATAAAACAATATTGAAGTGTCTTGATAATGTGCTTAAATTTTGTTATTCATAATTTTTTATTTTAACCATTAGAATGAATATAAAATCAAATCTATTATTTTACCATTATATCTAATATTAGATTTTGAACAAATGAGTAATTAATGTCATCTATTGAAAAAGATATCCTCAAAAACACATCATTAATTTTACATCTCAAAAACATGTTAAATATTTTTCCAAAAAATATAGTTTAATATCTGACTAATATTATACTACTAGGAGACTGCCACATCCAAAAAACTTGCTTTAGGCTCCAAAATACATTAAACCGCTAATATCACTTTGAAGGATAGAGATTTATACGCCAGAAAGTGTCATTATATATTTTATGTTGCTTGAACCCAATTTCCCAACATAAAGCTATACAAGACATAAACATGACTGGTAATAACCCTTGTCTATATAACCCTAAAAAGTGATCCAATAATTAAGTTTGTTTTCTTACAAGTCTCAAGTTCAATACTTGTGACATGTCATCAAACTAATTCCAGTTACGGTGGAATAATCAACACAAACCTAAATATTCTGTAACAAAAATATTAAAAAAGAACCCTTGTCCAGATTAGGAGGGGGCCTACGATGTGCACCCACCCATTCCATTCTACCCGAAACCTGGACACAAAAGAACCGGTTATTGGATAGACCTAGCTAACTAGTCAACCAAAACCAACCCAGACCGTCAGACAACAAACAAATGTCAGGATGTAGTAGTCACTTACATGATACACTTTCCTTCATCCACTAAAAACAGGATGTCCTACATGAAGTAATCATGGATGATCTACCTTGACTAAAACAGAATGAAATAGTATTTAAGAGAATTCAGATCCACCTACATGAAAAAAGTCTTCAGGTGGTGTACGAGGAAATGTCATAGGCAAAGAGAGTCTTTGTTTTTCGCAAGTCATATGCAATCCATAGAAAACATATTCAATTCTGGCCAGCCACGAAAACTCCACCCTTCAGATATAAATAAATACAGACAGCATACACCAATTATCTTAATAAAATGTACCGACAAAGATCTACAAAAGCAGGGTCCTCTACTATTACTATGAAATCCACTACAACATTGCAAAACAAAGCAACCATTACGGTCTTCCTTCACACACTGTCCAGGTAGTAACTGAAATAAGACCACAAATTTCCGAGATTCCTTTGACAGGACTGAGCTCGTCAGCTAGTACCGATTGTAACGCCTGCCAAATGATGTGTAAGTACAGAAGAATCAGAAAACATAATGCACAAATGAACACTGGATATGAAGCTTGTGGGGGAAACTATTACATACATACCTGTAGAAAAATAAAATTTTATGTGACCCTAAAAAAAGACCTGACAGCACACAAACACAAAATGCCCAAAAAAAAGACCCTAAACCATTCTATCCTATCAAGGGAATAGGGAAGTTTCTCTCAACAGTTTGGTGTGGGAAAAGTGGTGGCATAATATAATTTTCACTAGGCAAAATAATAGTAAATTGACGTGAAAACACAAGGTGAGGTTGGTGTTGCAAAACTTCCTCCAAAAAATGACACCTGCATTGTGCAGACAAATCTCCATAAAAACAACAAAAGAAAGATATATATATATATNTCTATCCTATCAAGGGAATAGGGAAGTTTCTCTCAACAGTTTGGTGTGGGAAAAGTGGTGGCATAATATAATTTTCACTAGGCAAAATAATAGTAAATTGACGTGAAAACACAAGGTGAGGTTGGTGTTGCAAAACTTCCTCCAAAAAATGACACCTGCATTGTGCAGACAAATCTCCATAAAAACAACAAAAGAAAGATATATATATAATATGTCGTTTGGGTAAATTACATCTAGACCCCCTAAGATTTGTCAATAAATCATACACCCCCCCCCCTTCCTTTCTCTCTCTCTTTCCCCTTCCCCTTATTAAAAAAAATCAAGTATAGAAATAACATTGACACCCCTTGTCATCAACTGCATTCAGAGCCTTAAAGCTTGATGACATTAACAAACTATTTTACATAATATCCCCAAATTTCCTATCATTTTAGATTAAATCAAAATCCCACCAATAATTCAAAATTTTCTGTCAACACCACCTTGATAATGTGGGACCACGAACCCCATAAAACCCCACGCCCCCCAAAAAAAAAAAAAACAGTCCCAAGCCAGCAATCTCAACCCACACTTGCAACAAAATCAGACCCCCTACCCCGTCCAACCAACCCACCCCAACCCCATTACCCATCTACTGCACAGACTCTCTCTCACCCACAAAAATGTACACAAATCCCATTGGCCTGCCTACCAACCACCTTTCTCCTTTGTCTTGTGTGACTTCCTTCTCTAGTTGATCCACTTGAGTACACCAACCCACCTTAGTTCATAGGGGCCCCTACCGCTTGTTGCAAGAAAATGACTCTCGTTTTCTATAGGCACCACCACGAAAAAGTAAAGACACCCAAAGATGGATTTTGACCATCCATGCATCATTAACCCGATCTCCTACACTTCTCAAGCTTTGGGATTCTTGAATATAATCGTTAATCTCTGAACAACAACCGACGCAGGCACAACAGAAGGAATAGCCAAATTAGCTTCAATTGACGTAGCCCAAGTATGAATGGGCCACACTCTCTCCCTCTCCACACATAAACATAGACCGGTACCTAAACTGGGCTGATCCTTCAATTGGATCGTCCAAGGAGTTCGCCCGCCTTGGACCACTCTAAATTGGGCAGTCTTTTCAAAACTCAAATGAACTGAGCATTTCACATAATTCCAGTCTGATCTATTTTTTAAAGAGAAAATTAACTTCTTGGACTTCAAAATAAAATATTTAAACTCACCCCAAGCAATAACTCCCTGTTTCTGTAGGCTTACCTCGAGGTTAGCCAAAAGGACTTTTTCAAAAAAGCCATATGTACCATGAAAAAAAGCAAAGGCCTAAAAACACTTCTTATAGGCCACATTTAGTTTTGGCCTTCTTAGATTTCCGATGTGGGATATGTTTGTGCCATAGTAAAATGCTTTTACTCCTCGTGGTTTCTTTCTTCTAAAAGGTTGTATGCTTAAATTGTTTTGTAATCTAAAAATTAGTTCATGGTTTAAGTCTTTTCTCTTCCAAAATATACCTCTCAAATATAGAAATTGTCCCTAGTTTTTTTATTCATGTTTTTATTTTTATTTTTTGCTCTATCAAATTGTATGAATTATCTAAAAAACTATAAATCGTGCATATTTTTATGCTTTATTTGATCTACTATTGCATAAACATATCATTTTTAGAACTACTACAACTTTTTAACATATTAATTCTTATTAATTATTTTTTTTATTTTTTTATTATACCACTGGTTTAACCAGTTGACCCAATGCTTGAACCAGTGAACCACTGACTTGATCCCTCTGTCGATTCGATGTCCAGTCCAATTCTAATAACTATGTACCAAACTCAACCCACTCCATTCTTCCACCATCAAAACAACATCCACCAACATCTGCCACCATCTACACCCCTACCCCCCATCTACTACCACAAGCTAAATAAGCCACAACCAACCAAACTCACCACATACATCCCTACCCCTTTTGCCACCACCAAGTCTAGACCCACCAAAATCTACCACCTTTGAGACTACCCTCACCCCCAAACTCACTACCATCAATCTACCATCGTACCCCACCCAAATCGCCACCATCGAGATAACCATGACCCCCAAACCTACCACCACAAGCACCCAAGCTGCCATATTATTCAACCAACGCAACCACACCACACCACCACATCACAAATCCAAGAGAGAGAGGGGAGGAAGGGCAAGGTGGAGCTACCAAATGTCAAAGTATGAGATTGAGTTCATTGTTTTAGGAGGGGGATATAGTGGGGTGGGAGATAGGTTGTGGCGAGTAAAGATAGATGATAGCTTCCAACAGCAAAGGGTTTTTGGTGAGTGCATATTTATTTATTTATTTTTTTTTTTTTGGGGGTGGGGGGATGGGAGTAGGTGGTTGCAAAGGTGGTTAACTTGTGGGCAACAGTCGGTAATGGTGGTGATTTAAGTTGAAACCGGGATAAAAAAGCTAACCAAAGGAGAAAATATTTTACTGACTATGATTCAGAGTCGGGCAAACGTTGGAGCATAGTATTTGGGTTAGGTTAGGTTGGTTTTATTAATTTTTAATCAAAGGGTAAAATAGCCATTTTGCGGCTTCAATAAGGTATGTTAGCTAGTCGCTACTGACACGAATCTTGGTGTAATTTGTCAACCTGAGAGGGTTCGTCTATTTAAATGGCAAACCTCAAGAGGTTTGAATGAAATTTATCCTTTTTGTTTCTACTCCGTAGTTCCACCATACAGAATAGCACGTTCCATAGTAGCAATAATTAATGTTCATTGTTGAGAAATAAAGAAAATAAAAAATGGGGAGAAGGAACAAGGTTTCACCACTGTAAGCGTCCTCCATTGAAACCTCAACTACCCCACTAACTAATGTTTTAGGATGACAAGTGTGGGGAAAAGGCCGTGGGGATGAAGAGAGAATACAAACATCACAGAAAAGGGGGTACTCAGTACTACATACACCATTATGATGTCATGGTTGCTTGATTACCAAAGAAGCATGAATACGGACACTAAACATATACAATGGTACACGAACTCGTGGATACAACTTTGATCAAAAAGGTAGAACACAAATATGTTCGCGACACATTACAAATAATAATGTTAATTTTATACATCAAATTATATAATTTTTCACATATGTAGAAACAACTATTGTTATCAAAATCGTACTATTTACAATTCGATTCTTACGATTTAGGCCTCATTCAATTTGNAAATAATAATGTTAATTTTATACATCAAATTATATAATTTTTCACATATGTAGAAACCACTATTGTTATCAAAATCGTACTATTTACAATTCGATTCTTACGATTTAGGCCTCATTCAATTTATATATTACTATAGAATCGTTTATGACTGAGAATTCCACCTGAATCAAAAAAATCGGTACGATTCGATTCGAATCGAAGGAATCACACGATTCGTTTCATTATTATTTTTAACCCTATTTCTAGTCAAACGACATCGTTTTGACTGTTAAGTCGTGTTGCTAGAAGTGGCCTACCCTCACATATAAAATTCGCGTCTCTCTCTCTCTCTGTATCTCCTGTTCGTGTCTCTGCCTCTCAAGCGACTGTTCAAGTGTCTTTAAACATCACACAAAGACGTCTCCTTCACTCCAGGTATGCTTCTTATTCTTTAAAAAGAGCTACCAAACCCTAACAAAACCTTATCCTTGTTTTTCTTCAATAAATGCTCTGCTTTTTGTTTTTCATCAAAAAAATTATTTTTCAATTGAATGTAGGAAGTAATTTTCTAAATTTATATATTTGAATCATTATGGATTTTTTTTATTTTAGTTTAACTTCATTTGTAAGATGACAATAGCTATTTGTTGGTTAAAAATCGTGCATCTTTCATCGTGACCATTTTGAGGGAACGGTTTACTATACATTAAGGAAAAAGTAACAAAGGTACGAACTCAAGTGAAGCTTTATAAAAATTTATAAAGGCTAGCATATTTCTATTTAGACTACGTGATCATTTCAATACCGTCAATTGATTGTTTTTAAAACAAAATNTTAAGAGGTTTGAATGAAATTTATCCTTTTTGTTTCTACTCCGTAGTTCCACCATACAGAATAGCACGTTCCATAGTAGCAATAATTAATGTTCATTGTTGAGAAATAAAGAAAATAAAAAATGGGGAGAAGGAACAAGGTTTCACCACTGTAAGCGTCCTCCATTGAAACCTCAACTACCCCACTAACTAAAGTTTTAGGATGACAAGTGTGGGGAAAAGGCCGTGGGGATGAAGAGAGAATACAAACATCACAGAAAAGGGGGTACTCAGTACTACATACACCATTATGATGTCATGGTTGCTTGATTACCAAAGAAGCATGAATACGGACACTAAACATATACAATGGTACACGAACTCGTGGATACAACTTTGATCAAAAAGGTAGAACACAAATATGTTCGCGACACATTACAAATAATAATGTTAATTTTATACATCAAATTATATAATTTTTCACATATGTAGAAACCACTATTGTTATCAAAATCGTACTATTTACAATTCGATTCTTACGATTTAGGCCTCATTCAATTTATATATTACTATAGAATCGTTTATGACTGAGAATTCCACCTGAATCAAAAAAATCGGTACGATTCGATTCGAATCGAAGGAATCACACGATTCGTTTCATTATTATTTTTAACCCTATTTCTAGTCAAACGACATCGTTTTGACTGTTAAGTCGTGTTGCTAGAAGTGGCCTACCCTCACATATAAAATTCGCGTCTCTCTCTCTCTCTGTATCTCCTGTTCGTGTCTCTGCCTCTCAAGCGACTGTTCAAGTGTCTTTAAACATCACACAAAGACGTCTCCTTCACTCCAGGTATGCTTCTTATTCTTTAAAAAGAGCTACCAAACCCTAACAAAACCTTATCCTTGTTTTTCTTCAATAAATGCTCTGCTTTTTGTTTTTCATCAAAAAAATTATTTTTCAATTGAATGTAGGAAGTAATTTTCTAAATTTATATATTTGAATCATTATGGATTTTTTTTATTTTAGTTTAACTTCATTTGTAAGATGACAATAGCTATTTGTTGGTTAAAAATCGTGCATCTTTCATCGTGACCATTTTGAGGGAACGGTTTACTATACATTAAGAAAAAAGTAACAAAGGTACGAACTCAAGTGAAGCTTTATAAAAATTTATAAAGGCTAGCATATTTCTATTTAGACTACGTGATCATTTCAATACCGTCAATTGATTGTTTTTAAAACAAAATAATGTTCAATATTTAAAATCTTGTCCATTTTAAATATGTAATTTTTTTTTTTTTTGATAGAAAAAATATGTACATGTTATTTTTTATCATTACTAGAATTTTGTGTCGAATCTTACGATTCCCGATTCTCAAATCTAAGATTTCGATTCCCGATACAAATTTCAATTTAATAACAATAATGTTATTCATAAGAAATACAATACTTTATGAGAAGTGAATCTTATGTCAACTAAAATAGTGCATCCTTTGATTTTAAATACTATTGTAACATGACAATCTTAACAATCATATATCCTTCATGGTATATGATGGTCGTTTGTCAACTTTTTAACCTTCACTAATTACATGTCAAAACATGTTTATATTGTAGTGATAATCATGACATAAAGATGTGTTGAGCAAGTGACCTAAAGAGTGTCAAAAACGTGTCCGAAATTAAAATTTTATTTTTTGTTTATGGACACAAATAAAAGAGTATTAGACACAAGCATGAGTGTCAGAGAAGTGTCGATGTTCAACACGTATCCGACATGGAGACACCACATTTGTGAGCTCGTCCATGGTTCTTAGTTGATTATAATTGTCCAGAAACAACCAAGACATAAAGCATATAGTTATCCTACATAGCATGTGACAATGCTTTCATGCATCCTTCGTTTATTATTTAATCCTTCTGCATTCTAAATAAGGAATCACTGCTTGGTGCAATGTTAAATTATCCAGAATATTCTAATTTATATTCGTAGCAGACAAGTCAACGTTCACAAGGAATATGCCTTAGAGGGAATACCTGCTAGGCCTGAGTATTCTAATTTACTTTTGTAGCAAACAAGTCAATGATTGTAAGGAATATGCCTAAGAGGGAGTAAGTACCCTGTAGGGTCAAACAGCACAACCTTACACTTTCATCTCAAGAAATATAAACATGTTTTTGCATGTAAAAGGTAAGAATCTTAAATCATAGCATTCCTGTTAGGTAAAAGAAAATTAAGATGATCACACAATTTGGAACCACATTTTTCATAATAACACGGATTTGGAAACTTCAGCTTTTTCCTAGTACAAATAATTAATTTTAGAAATTTGCTCCCAGAATGGAATTAAAAGAACCAGAATCGCGTGCAAAATGCTTAAGAGTAAAATCTAGGCAGCCGATATGTTAGAAGTTTCTCACTTAATTCTTATTATGCCTAAAACCAACAGAACATGGATAATCAGAAAACAGAAGCATCGAAGGGAGATAACCTGTGGCGATCATAATCTCTAGAACGTTCACTTGACCGCGAGCGCGACCTCCGATTCCTCCTTGAATCATAGCTGCGTGACTGATCTCTCTCCCTGTCACGCTCCCGATCATGCCCACGATCACGATCATGATGCCTATCGCGATCTCTGCTCCTACGGTCATGATCCCTCCCCCGTTCCCGGCTCTCTCCTCGATCACGACTGCCTTCCCTGTCACGATCCCGGCTTCGCTCTTTTGATCTGCACAATTAAATTATTGATAAAAGACTGACCAAGCCCCCCCTCTCAACANACATATGTAGAAACCACTATTGTTATCAAAATCGTACTATTTACAATTCGATTCTTACGATTTAGGCCTCATTCAATTTATATATTACTATAGAATCGTTTATGACTGAGAATTCCACCTGAATCAAAAAAATCGGTACGATTCGATTCGAATCGAAGGAATCACACGATTCGTTTCATTATTATTTTTAACCCTATTTCTAGTCAAACGACATCGTTTTGACTGTTAAGTCGTGTTGCTAGAAGTGGCCTACCCTCACATATAAAATTCGCGTCTCTCTCTCTCTCTGTATCTCCTGTTCGTGTCTCTGCCTCTCAAGCGACTGTTCAAGTGTCTTTAAACATCACACAAAGACGTCTCCTTCACTCCAGGTATGCTTCTTATTCTTTAAAAAGAGCTACCAAACCCTAACAAAACCTTATCCTTGTTTTTCTTCAATAAATGCTCTGCTTTTTGTTTTTCATCAAAAAAATTATTTTTCAATTGAATGTAGGAAGTAATTTTCTAAATTTATATATTTGAATCATTATGGATTTTTTTTATTTTAGTTTAACTTCATTTGTAAGATGACAATAGCTATTTGTTGGTTAAAAATCGTGCATCTTTCATCGTGACCATTTTGAGGGAACGGTTTACTATACATTAAGAAAAAAGTAACAAAGGTACGAACTCAAGTGAAGCTTTATAAAAATTTATAAAGGCTAGCATATTTCTATTTAGACTACGTGATCATTTCAATACCGTCAATTGATTGTTTTTAAAACAAAATAATGTTCAATATTTAAAATCTTGTCCATTTTAAATATGTAATTTTTTTTTTTTTTGATAGAAAAAATATGTACATGTTATTTTTTATCATTACTAGAATTTTGTGTCGAATCTTACGATTCCCGATTCTCAAATCTAAGATTTCGATTCCCGATACAAATTTCAATTTAATAACAATAATGTTATTCATAAGAAATACAATACTTTATGAGAAGTGAATCTTATGTCAACTAAAATAGTGCATCCTTTGATTTTAAATACTATTGTAACATGACAATCTTAACAATCATATATCCTTCATGGTATATGATGGTCGTTTGTCAACTTTTTAACCTTCACTAATTACATGTCAAAACATGTTTATATTGTAGTGATAATCATGACATAAAGATGTGTTGAGCAAGTGACCTAAAGAGTGTCAAAAACGTGTCCGAAATTAAAATTTTATTTTTTGTTTATGGACACAAATAAAAGAGTATTAGACACAAGCATGAGTGTCAGAGAAGTGTCGATGTTCAACACGTATCCGACATGGAGACACCACATTTGTGAGCTCGTCCATGGTTCTTAGTTGATTATAATTGTCCAGAAACAACCAAGACATAAAGCATATAGTTATCCTACATAGCATGTGACAATGCTTTCATGCATCCTTCGTTTATTATTTAATCCTTCTGCATTCTAAATAAGGAATCACTGCTTGGTGCAATGTTAAATTATCCAGAATATTCTAATTTATATTCGTAGCAGACAAGTCAACGTTCACAAGGAATATGCCTTAGAGGGAATACCTGCTAGGCCTGAGTATTCTAATTTACTTTTGTAGCAAACAAGTCAATGATTGTAAGGAATATGCCTAAGAGGGAGTAAGTACCCTGTAGGGTCAAACAGCACAACCTTACACTTTCATCTCAAGAAATATAAACATGTTTTTGCATGTAAAAGGTAAGAATCTTAAATCATAGCATTCCTGTTAGGTAAAAGAAAATTAAGATGATCACACAATTTGGAACCACATTTTTCATAATAACACGGATTTGGAAACTTCAGCTTTTTCCTAGTACAAATAATTAATTTTAGAAATTTGCTCCCAGAATGGAATTAAAAGAACCAGAATCGCGTGCAAAATGCTTAAGAGTAAAATCTAGGCAGCCGATATGTTAGAAGTTTCTCACTTAATTCTTATTATGCCTAAAACCAACAGAACATGGATAATCAGAAAACAGAAGCATCGAAGGGAGATAACCTGTGGCGATCATAATCTCTAGAACGTTCACTTGACCGCGAGCGCGACCTCCGATTCCTCCTTGAATCATAGCTGCGTGACTGATCTCTCTCCCTGTCACGCTCCCGATCATGCCCACGATCACGATCATGATGCCTATCGCGATCTCTGCTCCTACGGTCATGATCCCTCCCCCGTTCCCGGCTCTCTCCTCGATCACGACTGCCTTCCCTGTCACGATCCCGGCTTCGCTCTTTTGATCTGCACAATTAAATTATTGATAAAAGACTGACCAAGCCCCCCCTCTCAACATAAAGCAAGGGAATTAGAAAGCAATTAGTACCCAAATTCCCCCCCCCCCNACCTAAAGAGTGTCAAAAACGTGTCCAAAATTAAAATTTTATTTTTTATTTATGGACACAAATAAAAGAGTATTAGACACAAGCATGAGTGTCAGAGAAGTGTCGATGTTCAACACGTATCCGACATGGAGACACCACATTTGTGAGCTCGTCCATGGTTCTTAGTTGATTATAATTGTCCAGAAACAACCAAGACATAAAGCATATAGTTATCCTACATAGCATGTGACAATGCTTTCATGCATCCTTCGTTTATTATTTAATCCTTCTGCATTCTAAATAAGGAATCACTGCTTGGTGCAATGTTAAATTATCCAGAATATTCTAATTTATATTCGTAGCAGACAAGTCAACGTTCACAAGGAATATGCCTTAGAGGGAATACCTGCTAGGCCTGAGTATTCTAATTTACTTTTGTAGCAAACAAGTCAATGATTGTAAGGAATATGCCTAAGAGGGAGTAAGTACCCTGTAGGGTCAAACAGCACAACCTTACACTTTCATCTCAAGAAATATAAACATGTTTTTGCATGTAAAAGGTAAGAATCTTAAATCATAGCATTCCTGTTAGGTAAAAGAAAATTAAGATGATCACACAATTTGGAACCACATTTTTCATAATAACACGGATTTGGAAACTTCAGCTTTTTCCTAGTACAAAAAATTAATTTTAGAAATTTGCTCCCAGAATGGAATTAAAAGAACCAGAATCGCGTGCAAAATGCTTAAGAGTAAAATCTAGGCAGCCGATATGTTAGAAGTTTCTCACTTAATTCTTATTATGCCTAAAACCAACAGAACATGGATAATCAGAAAACAGAAGCATCGAAGGGAGATAACCTGTGGCGATCATAATCTCTAGAACGTTCACTTGACCGCGAGCGCGACCTCCGATTCCTCCTTGAATCATAGCTGCGTGACTGATCTCTCTCCCTGTCACGCTCCCGATCATGCCCACGATCACGATCATGATGCCTATCGCGATCTCTGCTCCTACGGTCATGATCCCTCCCCCGTTCCCGGCTCTCTCCTCGATCACGACTGCCTTCCCTGTCACGATCCCGGCTTCGCTCTTTTGATCTGCACAATTAAATTATTGATAAAAGACTGACCAAGCCCCCCCTCTCAACATAAAGCAAGGGAATTAGAAAGCAATTAGTACCCAAATTCCCCCCCCCCCTTCTCCTTCCCCCACCAAAAAATAAATAAATAAAAAACCAAACAGAAAAATACCGTTTTCCCCAAACCAAGAATTTAGAAAGCAAGAAGAAAATCTGAATTACCTTCTCTCATCTTCATGGGCCTTCCGCTTCTTGTTTCTCTCTTCCTGACAAATTAATTACCAACTACAATCGAAACCCCTCTTTGACAAAATTCCACTTCATAGCTAACAGATATTAGCAAGAAATAGAGATTGCAAAGCAAACCATACTTGACTCTAACCCTTTTAATGGCTATCAGATAGTCGACATGAATGTATTTTCTTTATAGGAGTCAACATGATTGTATTCAATCCCAAATCCAACCCACCGTGAATACACAAACAACATGACTCTATTGATGCACGAATGCACCGAAGTGACAAATATCAGAGGTACAAATTCTCATTCTTCTATCCTTTTAAACTTTTATCAGCCCCAGAATGTACTGAAGAAAAGAAAGCAAAGAATGCATAATTAATCTCCTCTACACCAACACAAACTATGGTCATTTACAAGGCTATGCTAAAGAACAAGGTCTCCCTATAGCTGAACAATCCAAGACACTGATTACTTCTGTAATACCAGATATTAAACAAACATAACTGAACAATCCAAGACACTGATTGCATCTGTAATACCAGATATTAAACAAACATAACAGCTTAGAATTCATTTACTAGGGGTTTGAGGCGTAATTCCATAGAACGACAGGGACGAAACCACGTAAAGTTATACATAAGGTGGTGAGTAGGCTGTCAATCATATCAGATAAGATGGGTTCTTATCGAGTCTTAGCGGGTTCGCGTCAAAAACATTCCACCCATACACGATTTGTTTATTAATTCATGTCTAACTAATCGTGTCATATCGGATTCATGTGGTATATAAATCATGTATATAAACGAGTTGTGTTGTTTATTTTTTGTGAGTGACCCCACCCACACTCAATTTATTTATTAATCGTATCATATTGAGTTCACCTATTTATGAAATGGATGGCTTAAAGAAGACTCAAACTCTCTAATTTCGTGTCAAGTTCGTGTCGTGTTAACGGATCATGTCATATTTTGAGACACAGGATAACTGATTGTGACTTCCTTTAGAGAAAAATAAGAGAGAAAGGGAAGATAGATAGCTAGCGATAGATAACAAAAAGAAACAACACGACAATGGAATTTGGCTACTGTTTTTTATTCATTAATTTCCCTCAATTAATTAGATCAAAATTATTTTAGGAGNAAAAATAAGAGAGAAAGGGAAGATAGATAGCTAGCGATAGATAACAAAAAGAAACAAGACGACAATGGAATTTGGCTACTGTTTTTTATTCATTAATTTCCCTCAATTAATTAGATCAAAATTATTTTAGGACTTGGGGTAACATAGATCAACAGGTGAAACAACGTCCCAATTTGGATGAAAATTTGAAGTCAATTGATGTTTATGCAAGTGGATTTATTGTTGATATACATCCATTGTGCAAATTCTCTCAGCATAGAGTACTTTTACCGTTTTGTCCAGAAATCATACTAATATTGTTTTCCACTGCCTTGTTATGAAATTCTGTTGAATTCTAGTTAAATAGGTTTTGAAAGACACTAGAATGATTTGTGATTCTATGAATTGCATTGGCAGTATTGCTTTCTACTGCCTTGTTGGCATGCTTATTAAGTGCACTTGGCAGTATTGCTCCATTCAGTGAGTGTAAGAGTGGCTTTGCCAACAGGGATACAGTAGGTTAGGTCGTCTTTTTGAGTGATATTATTGTCAGATATTCTTCAAGAATAATTTAAGAATAACATGTTGCCCATCAATATTATGCTACCAAGCTGATACCTCTTAAACCTGTTATATTGTGGTTTGTTTATCTTACTTGACAATCAAGCTAAACACCCAAAGTTTTCTATTTTGGATGTTTTGGTTCATGCCTAGGTCCCAATGGGCCTAACACTCACGGAATGACTTTCCTCCACATTTCATTCCTTGAGACCCTTGCAGCAAAGCTGCTAAATTTGCCTTTATAGTAATATCACGCTCAAAATGAGCAAAACTTTTTAATTCGAGCTTTATTTAGGGAAATTCATTTCAATCGGCCCTAAATAAGTTTTTGCCGAACCCTAGTGTCAATCTACTCAACTTGTTTCAAAGTCCTAGGTCAGATGTGGTTAATGCCCATCCATTTTTCCCTGTTGTTTTTTTCTTGTGAACCAGAAATGACAAACTCATCCAAATAAGAAGATGCTTAAATATAAAAGTACACTCTTCTCTGAGAACAGAAAAACTCACAGATGGCATATAAAATGGAACCTCTATAGAAGAAAGTGAAACATTATATCAGCACCTGAATCAACATATCCAGAGCCCAACTTAAGTATATACCAAATATAAATATAAGAAATCCCTAATAGCACAACGGCATACTTTCAGAAAAGCACTTGCAATGCCAAATTTGCAAGACATCATTATTATATGCTCAACAAATAGATGGAAGGCAAAACCATAAGCATCAATTGAAAAGCAAATTGTACAAGGCTCAGAACACCTAGTCCAGCCACTCGGCCACCTTTTACAAGTGTTGACATGCAAGTGAAATCAATCAATTTTGAGAAAGTCAGATCAACTCCACAAGAATATAATGAAAATCTTACCTGAAGGTCAGCTAACTTCTCACGAATTTGCATATAGCCCAAGTGAAGTTTGCCTCCAAAATGATCTGCTAAACGGCGATCACTGAAAACCACAATAAAAATTAGTTCTCACACCATAAATACTCGAAAAGAAGAAAACTAACAAGAAGATAGAACAGTTGCCCCGCAATTTTCTAGCATGATAGACAAACATAAAACAGAAAAAGACGCACATTCTTTAGCTGCAAAAGTTTATCCTCGTAAACTGGGCCCAAAAGCCTGCTGGTCACAAGGAGGTATAATCGCCAGGTCAAACACTGAAGCACTCAAAAGCCCAAATACTAGTTCTTTCTCGTCCTTACAAAAGCTACAAATACACATTATACCTCACAGAGGAACAAGAAAGAGGAATCACCTGTCATAAACGCTCAAAAATGCTCCACAAATGTCGCAGACACGTAATTTCTGATCAGTCTGCGTGCACAACAGACTAAAAATGTGAAAATTGCTGTAAATACTTCTTTTGCAAAGTTGTAAAAGGATTGCACACCAGTTTTAGCATTGTTAATTAGAACAATGATAGTGACTGAAAATACAGATATTTATCATCTCAAAAAACAGATTGTTAGGGCGAAAAAAATGTCAGAAGCTGAAGATTTCCCAACCTCGGAATATGGCAAACAGAAGGACATGAGGAGGAGGACTTACAATTCGCACATCGGCAGCAGTATACTTGGAGGAATCTGTAATAGGCTCCTGTCGCGGAGGCAGCTGAATAAAAAGTAATATAAATGTTAAGCACATGTCAATGAGCAAAATTCTCATCATACCCAAAGGGGAGAAGAGCAAAAAACTTTTTGATTTAGGAACATGAGATGAATCAACAAAAGCTGAAGAGAACATGAACCTAAATTTAATAGTACTTGTTAAAAAACAAATAAAAAATTATAACATAACATCGAAAACCTTCTTAAGTGCTTCAGCCTCTTCCAATGCTTTCCGTGCTTCATCAACCATTCCTTGCTCACCTGGAAAAGGTGGAGAGAATTAAGAAATATACACGACCCCATTCAAAGGGCACTCAAGTAACAAAAAACAAAGTATAACAAATAGCACATGAATGAGTAATTACTTTGCTACAGTAACTGTGGGCAGAGAGTGATGCAAGACCAGCAGAGATTAAGAAAGAAGAAGAGACAGAGAGAAATATGAAGGATGGAGAAAGAAGAAGGGAAGAAGAAATACAAAAGAGAGAAAGCCGAAAGAAAGAATTTCCAAATGCCAATTCAATTTAATATGCTAAAAAACTAATTAAATCTTAAGAGAGTATTGCTGAGACTAGGATATCATTTGCATTAAGCATATCTCTCAGGGGGTCACTGTATTTCCATTGTTTTCCAATACCTATTGTGTATTGAGAGTGAGTAGTAGATAAAAACCACTTGTAGATTTCCCTTCAACTTCTACTTTTACTTCCACTATTAATTGGAATTCTTTAATGGTATGAGCATAGCCTAAAACTTTGAATAAAATAATCCCCTTTTTTTATTCTTTTGCATTCTCATTTTGTCCTATTTATTGCTATTTGTTCCCCTGGTTTGCTTCTCCTGAAACAGTTTGCTGCTCTCTCCCAATATTGCAGTCGTTTTTACTCATCATGAAACCATAAATCATGTGTGAAAGAGTGTGCATTGGACGCTGTGTTAATGGATTGTTCGTTGTCATCATTTTTCATTGCTGCAACCGGGTTTGAAGACATGCAGATTGCACTCTTTGGTTTCTGGTATGTTGATATTCTGTTGATGATTTTGCCAATCGTTGATCTTTTAGGTTAAAAGTGTCATGATGAGTTATTGAGTTGAGTTGTCATGCTATTGTGGATGTGTTGTTCTCACAGATCAGTTGTCAGAGATTTGTTTGCTGATTCATTTGGTTGCCTGAGCTTGTAAAGGAGAAGAGTGGTGTTCGGTCACAGGAAAATGACTATCCTGCTCGAGATAGGTGTACCCTTATGTTTGGTTAATTGGATAGCTGTTCAGATTATTTAGGTAGAGAGATATGAAGTAAAGATGGGTGGGGACAGATCAATTGGACACAACCCAATTGGTTCGGCTCACCAGTGCTAGGAAATTGCTTATTGTAATCGGCTAATTCTATGAAGTCACAACGTAAATCTCAACTAGATCCATGATTGTGAAGCTACGAAGACAAAGATCAAAAGCAAGAAGAAGGAAAAAGTCCAAGCTACAAAATTACATCACGAAGACATGTAAAAGGTAAAGACCTTAGAAACTTTAAGAGACCCTTGGTATTTTTACTTTTGTTCATTAGGCTTTAATTAAATAAATTTAGTATTGTTCCATACATGACTAATAGGACTTTTATTGAAAATATCTTTGAAACTTCAATTGTTATTTTGAAAATATAGGTTGAGTCATAATTCGGACCCCGATTGAACACCACCTCTTATTTCCCAATAGGGCAAGTTTTCACTTAATTTTAGGCTTAAAAAGTAATAACTAGTAGGTATGGTCCTCTTCTCGCTGACCGACGACTAAAGTAATCTCTAAACACTTACAAAAAATTCTGGAAAAGGTTGAACAATTGGCAATGGAGACCACTCACTGATCGCTCATGCGGCTGGCAAACAGCTCTAGAAGCCTGAGCATTGCTCAAGCAAGTCCCTAGCCAACTAGACTTGATTTCATTTGCTCATTCCAATGACAACTATCCTCGAACTGCCCCTCTAACAACTCAAGCGAGGGACCGCTTGAGTTGTCTTGGGCAATAACTTCACTCTATTTTCAGGACAGATATATGGGCGCGCCTTTTCAGATTAGGGTAACTGCACAAACTGGGTATGGTTGAGCAAGGCATAAATTTCACTAGTCAAGGAATTCTTTCATTCCTTTGAATTGAGTCAAGATGTTGATCTCGTCTTTTCGTAGCCCCAGAGCCCGAGAATGAGAACATAGTTAGAGTATTCTATGCACACATTCGTGATACAAATCCCGATATTGTTTGAATTCTCTGCTGATTTAATAGCCACCACCTTGAACCTACCCAAGGTAGCTAATGATGCTTTGAGGAATAGGCATGTAAATGAGTTGCCTCGACTTTCTAATGTTACATCTGTGAGCTTTATGGTGCACCTAATCCTGATCGATGAAAGCATCAAAAGTGTTAGCAAAAAGATTTGCCACAAGATTATAGGAGGCTCAATCTCATTGCCAATTATAAAACCAACCTACAGACCCATGTCTCTAGCTTTCATGTTCAAAGAGCATGTGTGTTACAAGTCATAAGGACAATTGTTAATATTGATTTGTCATCATTGATATTTGGGGTTATTCGCAGAGCCTGTGACGAATGAAGTTTTAGAGAGAGAAAGTTGAGCTTTTACATTTTCTTCACCATTTTCATTGTAGTAAGCTTTATTTCTTTGTAATTTTTCCCTCTTTCACTCTAAACTCTATTATTTAAGTTGTAATCAAGGTTAGTTAAGTGTTCTATCAATTCCATTTCTACATTTGGGTATTTTGTCTTCAATCTTTTATATTTTGGGTATGAATGAGTTTGTTCTTGTAATTTAAACCTTTTTTTGCATTAATACAAGTTTCATGTTACATTTCACTGCCATGTCTCTTTACCTTATGTTGGTTCTTGCTTTTACTATGAGTGTTAGACTTTTAGTTGGCTAATCCAAATCAAATTTTCTCTTTTAGTTTGACTAGGTTGAGTGCGGATGTGGTTGTGGGCACTTAATACACCGCTGACTTGTCATAGGGTATTCTTTTGTCCAACACAACCACATTAGTCCGTTACTTCCTACGAATCAATCAAATACCGAGACCCCATTGGTTGAATGAATTGAATCGATTTGACATTACCATTGGAATGACCTCTATGGATTAGGCAACCTTGTTTTCTTGCATTCTTACCAAAACACAATTCACAAGATTTTTCGATTTACATTTCTTTACAAATCACCTTTCAAAAGCATTTGACATTTCCTTCCCTGAGGAGACGACTTTGGAATACTCATTCCAAGTAAAACATGACATTGCAAGTCTCTCTAAANGAATGACCTCTATGGATTAGGCAACCTTGTTTTCTTGCATTCTTACCAAAACACAATCCACAAGATTTTTCGATTTACATTTCTTTACAAATCACCTTTCAAAAGCATTTGACATTTCCTTCGCTGAGGAGACGACTTTGGAATACTCATTCCAAGTAAAACATGACATTGCAAGTCTCTCTACGCTGGGAAAGCACTTTTGCGCGCACACACATTTTTGTTCATCCACACAATTTTTCCTTTTTCTAGCATCGAACTCGAGGGAGAGTGGCACTCACCAAATTCTTTAAGCCATAAATACATAATCTGGGTTCGTGTTGAGAAATTAGAAAAAACCATCAAGTNCTCGAGGGAGAGTGGCACTCACCAAATTCTTTAAGCCATAAATACATAATCTGGGTTCGTGTTGGGAAATTAGAAAAAACCATCAAGTAGTGGACCAATTTGTTACAATAACCAAAAAGTTATAATAACAAATATATTGATAATTCCCGACATTAGATGAATCCAAGTAAAAAATTGGCTCCACTAGTAATTATACATTATTTAACTGATGGTCTGCCGTATGGTTCTAGGTCACACGTATTTGTATGACGAATAAAACTTTTGTTTTGAGTATTGATCAGAAGAAGCAACCAAAGAAACCTTTTAGTGAGGGTTCGATGACACAGTGTCATACACTAGTGACATTGGACACAAGTTCGACCCTGTGGATGTCATGGCTACAAGAGATGAGATGGAGACTGAGATACTTATTCCTCCTACTGAGATAGGACCATCAAGTTTTAAAGTACCACTATTAGGAAACGACCACTATTAGGAAACCAAGGGTTGAAATGTCATTTCAACACATTGTTTTGGTCACCTAAGAAGAAATGTTACGAAAACGTTTTGAAAACATAATGAAAACGGCTAAAAAAAAGTTTGACCCTTTTCCTTATCCTTTTATGCTAGTTGTTTCGTATACATATTCCCTTATTCATGTTATCTATTACGCTTGTTATGAGGTGGTATTTTGCACTTCGTGACAAAAAAAAGGAAAAATAATGGGTGAATCTTGGGAGAAATTTGAAACTAACTTGGGATTAGTAGGATATAGGATATAGAAAAGGAGAGTTCATTGAAATTACTCGAGGAGAGTACATTTACAAACTTGGCATAAAGTCATATCTTTTACACTTGTTATGTTTTCCTTTGTTGATTTTACACTTATTATTTGCTAATTTTTCACTTGTTATTTGTGTCTGTATAGCACCAACTAAAGGGGAGAACTAATTGTTGAACTACTATTGTTGAATCTAAAAATTCTAGAGCACAAATGTGTTAGGAGTGATTACACATGTTTGCATCGATTGCACTTGCATGTTGATTACATACATGTACCTTGTTGCTTCTCTTGGTGTTTTCATACATGTGATAATGTAATGTCATTGTTACATATAATATTTTTCAGGAGGTATTGGATGATTTGTGATGTGTAGGATTATGATTCTGTAAAACTACATATAACGATTAGAGCACATGGTTCAAGGTCACGGTATCGACCCTTGACTTGGAGGTCACTTAGACAAATCCATCGTAGTGTCGCTGCGCAGTATCGACTAATATGCTCAAGGGCGCTATTAGAATATTTGTCTATTTAATAATTAGATTATTAAATATTTAGATCCCAAAACTAGTGAATACGAATATCATAGTAATGTTTTTTTGGATAAGTTATACTAATGTTAATATAACTTAATTTATAATTTTTAAGAATTATAAAAAAATAAAAATTGTGTATATATAGTTTAATTAATATTTTTAAAAATATATATTATTTAAAAAATTTGTCAATTTAATAAGTTAAGTTATAATAATTAGATTAGTAGATATTTAGAAATAGACGGTCTTAATTTGCACACGTGACTGTTTGAGAGAGAGAGCGAGAGAGAGTGGGAGGATTACGTTGGGAAAGAAGATGTCAAAACAAAACCAAACAAAAAGAAAAGAAAAGGCATGGAGCTGAGTCTCTGAGACTCTAGCACTGGTCGACAACGAGCAACGCCAGTCGAGAGAGATAGGGGAGCAACGCCAATCGAGAGAGATAGGGGAAAGAGTCTAGATCTGGTCTCTAGAGGGTTGCTACTGTGTTCGATAGTAACGCCTACCACTACTGCTACTCTGTCTCTAAGACTCCTACGTCTGCGATGAAGATGAAGAGGAAGTGGAAGTGAAAGAACAACAATTACAAGGGCTTTTGGTCTAGATGTTGTACGGTTATGTGTCTAAGTTCTAATTCTTCATCTGTTTATATCAAGAAGAAAAGGGAAAAAGGGGTTGATTTAGGGTTAATTTTCTCACATCTCCCGTGCCTTTTTTTTGGCATCTTTTCCCCACTGGTTTGTGCTTTGAAAGCTTGTTTGCACGTAGTGGATTCTGCTGGAATGAAGCAGTTCAAATCGGTGACGAATCAATTCAAATCGGTGATGAATAGCCTGAGTTGTTTCGATTTTGGCCGAGATTGAACCGATTTAGGTTCGATTCGGGATTTGTTCGTTGCAGGTATTGTCATCGTATCGNATCTTTTCCCCACTGGTTTGTGCTTTGAAAGCTTGTTTGCACGTAGTGGATTCTGCTAGAATGAAGCAGTTCAAATCGGTGACGAATCAATTCAAATCGGTGATGAATAGCCTGAGTTGTTCCGATTTTGGCCGAGATTGAACCGATTTAGGTTCGATTCGGGATTTGTTCGTTGCAGGTATTGTCATCGTATCAGCCATGGCCAAGACAGATACGACTACGCCAATTCACCAGTCTCGGCCGATACCTTGAACTATGTTAGAGCAAGGATCAAAATTTTATTTTGGTGTATTATTTCGGTCACCTAGGAAAAAGAAACATTTCAATGTATTTCAAAAACGTTTTGACCCATTTCAGAAATAGAATGAAAAAAAATAAAAAATTTACAAATTACTTTTTCAAAGTATTAGTTGAAATATACTAAAATATTTTGAAATACTTTGAAAATTTCCAAAATAATTATGCAAATACATTGAAATATATCAACATTTCGAAACATTATGGAATACTTCAAAGTATTAGAATTTTAATTCCATCATTGACTCATTTCGATCTCCTTGGAAACGTTTCGGACGTTTCAACTGTTTCGAAACAATATTTTGATCATTGGATTGGAGTCATCCAAAAGCTGAAAAATCGACTTGTGAGAAACAGTAGTTACGCATGATTTTAAGTTAAGGCCCAAACGAGAAGAGGAGAGCTCGTCTCGTTACGTTTAAAGACAAAGCTGGCTAAAAGTAGGGTCACGCTAATTGACAGAGAGAGTAAAGAGAGGAAAGCCCCGAATAAACAGGCTGTAAGGAAAACTATTACCAGTTAATAGAGCTAAGATAGTTTTTGTATTTAGATGAGAGATTGAGTGACTTGTAGTCGAGTGTTAAGATTAGTTTACAATTTGATTTATTTCGTTGTAGTTTTTGTGTTGTAGTTTTCGAGTTGTAATCTTTAAATTCCTCTTACTCCTGTATTTTGTCATGCAATTGTCAAATGGGAAGATTGTTAAGAAATTACTTATTCTAAGAAGTCATTGTAAATCTCAACTAAACTATTGTCATGAAGCTACAAAGTGAAAGACCCAAAACTAGAAGGAGTTGTTCAAACTACAAAGCTACATCATGAAACCTCCCATGATCTTCAATGCTTAAGAAAGGTAAGGAACTTAGAAACCCTAGGCGACCCTTGATATTTTTTGTTGGCTCGTTAGATTTTAATCAAATGGATTCAGTATTACTTTGTACATTGCTCATAGGACTTTTATTAAACATATTTTTGAAACTTCAAATGTTGTTTTAAAAATATAGATTGAGTCATAGTTCGGACCCTAACTGCCTTGGTGATCAATAGGGCAAGTTTTTACTTGGCTTTAAGCTTAAAAATCGATAGGGACTTCCCTACTCGCTAGCCTACAACTAGAGCGATCTCTAAACACTTAGAAAAATTTAGCAAAAAGCTGAACAATTGGTCATGGAGACGACTCAAGCTACCTCAAGAGACTAGCAAATGGCTCAAGCAGCTTGACCACGCTTGAGTGGTCCCTAACCAACTAGACTGAATTTGACCTTTTACTCATTCTAGTGACACTTGCTCTCGAACAACAACTCGAGCANTGGCTCAAGCAGCTTGACCACGCTTGAGTGGTCCCTAACCAACTAGACTGAATTTGATCTTTTACTCATTCTAGTGACACTTGCTCTCAAACAACAACTCGAGCGGTCTCTCGCAAATTTAAGTTTTCTTAGGCACCAAGATTAACTCTATTTTCAAAGCCTATATATATGGTCATGCCTTTTCAGATAAAGGTAACCTTCCGTAAAATTAAAATAGCCTCCTAGGTCATATAGATAACCAAGAACAAACCCCAAAAATCCTTAAGCATCCAAGGCCAAATCTACCTTGATTAATCTCATACTTCAACTCCAAAGCAAGACAAAGAGAGAGATCTTGTAGAAACCCACATCGGTGTGTAAATGATAGAATAGATCTTGGAAAGAGTCCTTGAAAATCAAAAGAGGAGAAGACGATTCGCCCTTTGAAGCTAGCACTCAAAGCTTTTGCGGTGGTTTTTTCCAAAGGAAAGATTGACAAGGAGAAAAGCGTCTAACCATAGACTTTATTGAGGTTGAGGTATAAGACTTTGGACTTTGAATCCTATTTTGAGTATAGTGAATTAGGTCAAGTGGACCAGGAGTCGTCCCGTGGTTTTTTCTGAGAGGGTTTGCATTTTAAAATTGCCTTATGTTGTGGTGGTTGTTGATTTACTACTTGTGCACAAACACAGTTAATTTTACACACATACAATGTGTTTGATGATATATTTATGTGATTGTTGAATCTTTAATTATCATCATTGTGGTTTGAATCAGTGGAAGGGCTTAGAAGGAAAAGAATGGTGGATTTTTTTATTTTTTTTTTGGGAAAGTGAGAATGGTGGATTTGCTTGTTGAGTTTGATTGTTGAATTAGGCTCTTGCATCCACACATTCAATTGAAGATTTGTTCATTGTAAAAGGGGTTCACTGAGCGTTAATTCATTAATTGGCACTTGAGATTAATAGGTCTAAAATTGCTATAAGTTTCTATGAGAAATGTCAAAGACCTATTCAACCAACCCCCCCCCCCCCC